TCCCCCTCCCTTATTTTATGTAAGCCGCCCTCAGTCCCCTCAGGGAAAAGGGCGGCCTATAAGTATTAATAAAATACTATAAAAAAATTCTTTTAAAAAAAAAGTGAGGGAGCTGTGAGCCTTTCCCAGACAGGTAGATCTTCATATAATGCACCTGAAGTTGGATAACTTAAATTACATATAATAAATAAAACAACGTATAAAAACTAAAATTAAGTTAGGATTAAAAAAACTTTATAGAATAATCTCATAAACTTCAAAAGGGTAAAAATCCCAAGTTGGCCATTTAATGTTGGCTATTACTAGAGGGAGAGGTGTTCTTATGGAGCTAGCCGGACTCATGGTTGCATGGGCCTCTGTGTCCTCCACTCAAGGCCGCAGAGCCAAGTTTTTACTCCTTTGCAGAAGGCCAAGAGAGTGAGGTCCCTCCTCACCTCTGGGGATAGGGTGTTCCATAATGTCAGGGCAGTGACAGAGAAGGCTTTCTTCCTAGACCCTGCTAAATGAAACTCCTTGACAAGTGGGGTTTGCAGCATTCCTTCCCTGCCTGAACAAGTGATGGGCAAAGCCAGTTGTTCCAATGCCATGTAGGGCTTTGTACCTTGAATTGGACCCGGAAGCAAATTGGTACCCAGTACAATTCAAGGGGGTGGGGTGATTCAGTGGCTAAGATGCTGAGCTTGTTGATCAGAAGCTGGACAAATTAGGATAGTGGAGTTGGGCTAGAAGAGGAGAGAAGAATGAAGAAAGCAACCTATTGAAATTGGCTCTTAGTAAACAGACTAAAAGGAACCCGGTGACTCAGTGCTAAGATGCTGAACTTGTTGATTAGAAAGGTTTGGCAGTTCAGCAGTTCAAATCCCTAGTGCAGCATAAGAATGACGCTTCTGTTACTTGTCCCAGCTTCTGCCAACCTAGCAGTTCAAAAGCACATAAAAATGCAAGCAGAAAACTAGGGACCATTTTAGTGGGAAGGTAACAGTGCTCCGTGCATCTTCGGCATTTAGTCCTGCTGGCCACGTGACCATGAAGACGTCTTCGGATAGCGCTGGCTCTTCAGCTTTGAAACAGAAATGAGCACCACCCCTACAGCCGGAAATGACTAGCATACATGTGCGGGGAGGGGGGGACCTTTACCTTACAATTCATGGAGCGATGATGTTACATTCTTCATTCACTCAATATGGTTCAGACAGCTACACTCGGCACCAGCTGAAGCTTCCAAATACTTTTTGAGGTTAGCCCCTGTAGAGCTTATTGCAATAGTCCAATGAGATGATGATGAAGGTGTGAGTGACTCAGTGAAGAGCTTCCTTTTATTAGTGCTTCAAGAGCCATTTATTTAGCAATACATATTTTTCAACCTTGTGAAAATCTCAGCTTTGATCAAAGATTCAAAGGCATTGGACATATGTGCCATTGAATTGGTTTTGGCTACAGACCACATAGATTTTCTCCATGATGATCTATCCTAACTTGGTCTTTTAAGTCTCTCAATTGTACACTCAATCACACTGTGACTGGGCCCACTCACTTTGCAGCTGGGCATCCTATTCTCTTTCTTTCCACCCCCCCTCTCCATCGCCCCCAGCATTAGAGCCTTTTCCAGAGAGCTAGATCTTCACACAATGTGTCTGAAATAGGATAATTTAAGCCTGGTCATAAGAAACACTTTGCTTTTAGTGATTCATCCTTTGAAATTATCTTTGTTCCATATTGATAGGCTTAAAAGATGAATCACTAAATGCTAACAGGTTTTTTTTTCTTAATAAAGGACAGTATCTCAAGAATTTGTGATTCTATTAAATTGATTTACCCAAGCAATTGTCTTACCATAACATATATTTTTCCATAATCTTATGGAAGTATTTTCTCATCTTAGATTGTGTGGGATAATATTGCCTCTACCAATAAGTCACTAGATCATACTGTATATCTGGGACTTGTGTGTAATCATAGAGGTAAAAATAAACCCTGACATGAAAACTGCAGAAAAAAAAGTCAAGTAGAGAAACTATCTGTGACTATTATGTTCTCCTGGTCCATTGAATAAAAACTCATAATCCTCAATCAGCATGAAGATTGAAATCAAGTACATATACATCTTGGGGAAGTTTTCTTGAAAAAATAAAAGAACCGAAGCAGCTTATTGGATGGTGAAACATCTTCAAGGAAAAACAAAGTCTAGTTGTTTTTTGAAGAAGCACCTTTGGGATAATCATGACCTAGATGACTTAGAATTTCTATAGACATGCTTCAAAGGAGTTTGGCAAAAAAAGAATTTTAAAATTAGCCTTAAACTAATAGTTTAACCAAACCAAAGCTATTCCAAGAGCACAAAGGTCCAGGATGAGCAACAGTCTCTAATCTCTACTTAATTCTCAAATAATCATGTAGCACACAGTTCAATACATCAGATTAGCTTTCAGAAATAAATGAGGTTAGGCCTTCTTCTTGATGGCTAGCTAGAATTTTTTTCCCCCCAGGGTTAGCAATACAAGTATACCGGAAAGCATTTTAGTGTGGCTACTGCTCATAATCCAGGCACTAAGATCCCCAGTAATCATCACCGTCATCCCAAACCAACACACAGCAGGTTGATGGCCTCTTTATTGAAGTTACAGACAGGTTGGTAGATGCTTTTCAATTTTGACAGGTGGTGTTTTTCTGGAACTAGGAGGACCATTTGGGCCAAGGTCATCCAGCCGTCTGAAAGCAAAGACCTGTTCCTACTCTAGCATATTAAGTACTACCATGCTGGTTGTCAATTTTTATTTTAATAAATTCATGTATAAATATATATACATGATAAAAAGAACCACAAATTCTCTAAAGAAACATGTTTTATTTAAAGTCTTAAATACCATCACCAGAATGAGTTTGATTTACATTGATTGGTGTTCATCAAAAGGCCTTTTGTCTGCCTTTTCTCTCCCAACCTTGATTCCAGTTACTTTTAAAACAGACTATGTACAAGACAGCTGTGGTCACTGGAAGTATGCTATTTACATGACTAAATTATAAGTAGAGTTGCAGACATGTGAATATTTTAAAAAATACAATCAAAAATAAATACTGCATAATGATCAGTTACGTACACACTTTCCATATTGTCATGTCCTCCTTGTGTGAATTAAGAAATATTTTATAGGAATATGCATAAAGTGTGCACCCACTGCATATCACAGTATCAGGAAAAGAGTCGTACACTTTAAAAATGTTTTTTTTTATTTTTAGGGATTAATGCATGTGTTAGTATTCATTGATTGCTCATACAGGTGATTAAATTATTTCAGTCAATATGTTTTTAACCGATCGTCATTAACCTATACATAATCTTGTAAAAGATCAATTATCCTTCTTAGCTAGGTAATTCTTTTATGAATGCAAAAGGGTTTGGTACGTAAACAGAACTCCTGTCAACAAGAATTCCCTTTGGGGTTCAGGTGCTGTTTGAGATCACTGCAAGGGTACAATTCACCAAGCATTTTGACTGCATTAATTCCATTCACATTCAATGGTACTCATGCATGGAACATGTGCAAACCTTGAAGGAATTCTGTTCTGTTTTAAAATTGAACCATATAAAAGAAATGGCAGTATACCCATTTTTCCTTTTGCCCTCCTATAATTCATGTACATACAGGGATATGTAAATACAAAAGTAAAATATTCATGAGTATGGCCTTAAATTAATAGTTGCACATATTAAAATATTATTGCAATGCCTCATCATTAAACAATAGATCTGTAAGGCATCTAAAGATACAGGGGAAAAAAGGATGATATACTTCAACATGAACAAGTTACATATCTTTTTATCAGGAAAAAAATAAGATCTGGATTTAAAATTATCCACATTTCCAGTTACCCTAAATTACCTGATATAGGAAACAGGTGTTTGTTTCTTCAAATACCTGCAACATGTGCATTTTAGGTTTTTGGTGACGGGTGTCAAAATTAATAAATGTTATGTATTTTGTTTAAGGCGTTTAAGAATTTAAAAAAATCTGCAATCTCTTTGGGCATGTATTTCCCATTAATAGAAAGATTAAGTAGATACAGGACTGCAGCTCAAATTATGACTTGAATGTCAAGTTCATATTCACTGATTTCCCCATCCGAGTTTATGAAAACTGAACAGAAGAGTTTAATAGGTAGCAATTTATTTGGCTCAATGGAAGTGATAAGATGTTGATATTTACCAAGACTGCTCTGATATTTCTTTATTTAGAAATGATAGTTCAACCTTTGAATGAATGATGCTGGTGCTGAAAACAAATTTATTGAAGACGTTTTACAAATGGCCACATGATTCCAGTATTTTGCTGTATAATTCAATTTGAAGGTGAGAGGGAAAAGTTTTTCATGCACTGTACAATAAACAGCAAAAAGTTCAATTTGTTATCAAATACATGCTGAATTATTGTAATGTACTCCCCAAGCCATGTTGCAAAATTCTTTTCAACATGCTTGAAAAAAGTTCTTAAACAATTTTTTTTTTCTCAAAGATTTCAGAAATGCAGAATCAGTCTGTATCCCTGAATCAAATAGGGAGCTTGAGAGTAGTAAGTCAAAAAGTAGCAATTTCGAAGGATAATGATCGTCCTGGGAACCAGGACAGCAACGAGAGGGCAAAAGGAGGATGGGGGAAACGAGAAGGGAAAGAAGTGTACAATTTGCACATATTTTGAACTTTACAAGGCTTGTACCTTTTACATTTAAATAAATTTAATATATTACATTTATTTCTTGTCACATAAACATAATTTGAGTATTTGCTAGAAATTATTAATATTTCATTGTTGTCTGCAAAAACACAGACCATGATTGGTTTAAAGAATGATAACTTGGTGTGTCTATCACCTTGTTGCATTCTCTCCCTTTTAAAACCATGCACTAGTGAAATTTATTTTTAAAAATAATATAAATTGTTGAAAATGGCTGATTTATTCTTTTTTTTTTTTTGCAAGTTGCAGCCCCAAGAAAATAATTTTAAATGTTCAGCATAATCTGTGTCCATGCAAAAAAGTGTCTTTTAATTCATACAGTACAGTATAGCCACAGAATTTTACTTTTCACTTAGTCCACACTGGATTTGATTCTATTAGTAGCCGGAGGTACAAAGCCTGCTGCTCAAGTCTTCAAGCTTTCTGATAAGGCAAGTTTCCTCTGCTGTTAATGAATGCAATGACAGCTCACTTTTCTTTTTTTTCTTATAGCACAACTTCTTTGGGTAGCTCCATATTTCTGTGGCATAACCAGGCTTGGGTGGGTGCGGGCAGAAAAGGGCCAGTAAAGAAAAGAGAACAAGAAAATAGACGTGCCATTGAAGGGATTCTTGTTGCATGAGACAACTTGATTCTTTAGTTTAATCCATGGCTTCAAATTGGATTAAAAGTTGAGTGTCACTGAACTCCAAACCATTCAGTTCTTCCAGTTCCACTCCTTCACCTGAGGACTACCTTTAGAGCACAATGTGTGCAACTTCCTCTGAGAATACAGGATCGCTTTCTAGCCCTAGAAACAGGCTTCAAAGACGCAACATTAAGCATGCAGTGTTACCAGAGCTTGCGACCTGTTAAATATTTATTTTTTTTGTAACGCTGGTTGCTATGATAAAGTTCACAGCTGCTATGAGCGAGCGTACGACGGTCCTGTTGAACTTTCAAGAGATGATTGGGAAGCCCTTCTTGTAAGAGGGGCCAAAGTTGGATCTACTAGGGACGAAGGAGGAAATAGTTTAAACCAGCCAATCACCATATTGGACAGGTCCAGTTCTTCTAAAAGTATCTGTGCCACTCCCATAAAGGATTTATGATCCATACGCCCATAGTCTCCCCATACAATAATCTGTTGGATTAAAAAGAAATAATACATTTTAAGGGAAATAGCAAAGGAAATGAACTATTTTATGGAGAATAGTTCTAAGATGGATAGACTGAAAATGTGCTGGTTTAATGAACCAAGCAAGAAAAATATGAGGTGGAAACACTGCTTGGGTTCCAAATTATTTTGACTCAAATTCATTCCTGGGTCTTTTCTAATTTCATCTTCTCCCTTCTGAGCCATATGATGATGTACCTAAAAAATCCCTTAACTTTTGAAGAATGGAATGGCCTTGGATGGTTCATGTTACATTTCATCTCAAATGAAGATTAGAATTTAGATTGTAACAGAGCTAAATCCAACCCCCAAAAAAATCTCTTCATTATTTAAAACATGGACTGATACATTTAATAACATCAAAAAAAGACTGCAAATTATGTTTGTAAATGCAAAAAAATATCCCCAAAATTTAATTAACACTAACCAGGGTTTAACTCTAAAATCCTAAAAGTCATTTATTTCACCTTTTACCCAGGGGTGAAATCTACTTACCTTTTCTACCGGTTCACAAATATGAACATGCGCGCATGCGCTCCATTTGCACAGGCCACCTCCATGCATGCGCAGGACCTTCCATGCATGTGCATAGCATTAAAAACAGAAAGGTGGGCGGAGCCTGCTACCAAGTGCGCCTACAAACGTAAGTAGAACAGGGGGGGGGATTCACTGTGCCACGTGATTTAGATTAGCTAGAAATCAGGAAATCCTGCCTTCTAGTTAATATAAATCGTGCATCATAGCTGATCATTGGAATTTTTGGTTCACTCAAACTGGTAGCATTTTTTTACTATCAGTTCAGGTGAATCGGGCTGAACCGATAGCATTTTACCCCTGCTTTTACCTATAAGAACAGGTAAATAGAATAAAAATATTTCTTTGAAAGGGTAAGTCCAAGATAAACCTCCGATGATAATCTGGCAAGAATTTCAAAGTAATTTGCCACAGCCTTTTCTTAAAGTGTTCTTTCCACATCAGTCTTCAGGTCTGAAGCTCCTGATCATCTCCCATTCAGCAAAGGTTATGAGATCTGTTCCTTAATAGTTAAGTTATTAACTATTTAAGATGCTAATCAAGCTAGCATCTAAAATTGGACCAGTGTAAAGTCTTGAAAAGAGTTCAGTACTGCAACACT